ACAAAGAAATCCCAAGGAATACGACTCCGTGAGCATTAAAAGACTGTTTATATCAAGCTAATTTGAGTGAATTTCAAGGCAAGAGTACTTTATTTCTATTTTATTAGGCATATTTAAAAAAAAAAACAGTTTTATTTCTGGGAAACATGACTAACTCTTAAACAGTACAATAAAAGACTAAAAAAGGCAAAAATTATTGCACAATCATTATGTTCGATTCGTTTTGTCATCGTCGTATTAATTAATATTTTGTCATGGTTTTCCTTGTTAAGTGTAATGCAATACTATAAAATGATAAAATGATTGCATTTTCGGTGCTGCTGACCGTCGATCGCAGGCGTCAATAAAGTCGTATTCGGACAAGTCATATATTTCGACAGAAAGTTTTATATTTTGACAAGAAGTCATATTTTGACAAGAAGTTTAACATTTTGACAACAAGTTTTATATTCAGCAACAAGTCGTATATTTCAGCAACAAGTCGTATATTTCTTAAAATATATCTTATCTATTTGATACAAGTATATTGTTAGGTTAGGCGCGCCATATGCTTTGACCTAAATTCGCGCTATTCACCTTTTTTTTCCTTTTTTTTCTTAATGCAGTCTTGCTCAGGCTTGCTCAGTTTTCGTGCACTCGTCAGCCATTCTAAGAACAGTATAATGAACACCTCGGTATAATGAAATCCTCTGTTTTAAGGACATTTAATGACGAAAATCCCTCATTCATGAAAAGAATGAGGGAATATTAGAACAAAATCTCCCTCATTAATGAAACACGAGCGAAAAATAGTGCTAAATTTCCATCATGAAGGGATACTTATAACTAACTGTCGCTCGTGAATCATTGAGGGAGATTTAGTTCAATCTACCTCGTAACTATATTCACCCCTCATATTAAAACCATCGGGATATGGATCTTTTCGACTCATTAGAGAGTTTTAGATTTACGTTCACGGCAAACGTGAAACGTCAGTTGACCATTTAAAAATTATTTTAAATAGCTTAAAAAGAATCGCAAAAAAGTCCAACAAGTAGAAAAACAAAAGAATAGTTGTCTTTGGTGAGAAGGTTGCAAAAGGTAAAGTAAAGTACAGGAAAACGATGAAAACGTGGTCACGTTTGCCGTTTGCGAGGAGGAAAAAAGTCAATCTAAAACTCTCTA